AAAGTAGCAACAACGCTACACATAAAAACTGATGATGGTGGAAAAATACACCGAAACGTATTTTAATTGATAAATAGAGACAATAAATGACTGAACCCCAGGAATTTATTTTGATTTGGATTTTAAACACAGTTAGGAAAGTATGTACAATTATGATTAAATACACGCTTGGGCTTTTTTCAACATGTTTACCAACGTTTTGGCTGATTTAGGAATTGAGACATGTGCAATTTTGCCCCCATTTGGGGCTTTGGGCCTTCTTCACATGACTCAAACCGTTCCATTACACTACTTAGCCGTAAAAATGTAAAAATTCTCCTCTTGTGACTGCTGCCGATTATTTTAGGAAGTGGATTCGTCGCTTTTGCCAACTGTTTCATTTCCTGCCTTCGCCACTCATGAGGATTTGCTGTACCAGAGGACCAAAGGCAATATAGTCAAGCGGCTGCGGGGCTCCTACGGCTTCAAGCGCTTCATCCGAGATGGGTTTCGCAGCGTGCTGGAGGATCCAACTCAAAAGTGAGCTTTCATTGGTCGTTTCTTTGGGCGCTGTCCTCACAGTTGTTCTAGATTCTACAAGAAGGAAGATTTGAAAAACTTTGAAAACATCGAATGCGAATGGCCGCTGTTCTACATCTTCATGATCATCGATGGGGTGTTTAAAAATCTCCCCGACCAGATCAGCGAGTATCAGGATTTGCTGAAAAAGCGCATATTCCTGGACCACAATGAAGGCACGGCAGGTAAAACGTGAGGAGGCGCAGCCCTCATGGAACCCCTTTCCAGATCCGGTGATCCCGATGTATTACTACGTAACTGAAGAGCTGCTGGAGAAAGAGCGAATGGAACCGGGCAGCACCCAGAGGAAAATGGTGGTCGATCATGGGCTTTGTTTGTGGAACCAGGCCATGTTCGTTCTGGCTCAGCTCCTGACTGCTGGGCTGTTGCATATCAATGAGTTGGACCCCATTCGGCGGTACCTGCCCTCGTATAATCGTCCCAGAAAAGGGGGCCGATATTCAGCGTTTCAAGTAAGATGTGTTTTGCCTAGATGGAGCCAAAGGTTCGCTTTGACTAACGGGGAACTGAAACTCGTCTTTATCCTTGGCCGCTTGGTTGGGCTCGTCCTTCCTTGTTGAGGGGAGCATAATGTCCAAGGATCGTTTAGTGAGGGCATTTCTGCTGGCACCCCAATAAATTTACCCGCATCCGTATCTTCCGAGATTACGAGTGCAATTTTTGGAGGAGCCCTCCCTACTTTGTGAGGGCCGCTAATTCATCTAAAAAAAGTAATTTATTCGGCATTTGGTCACTGTTTCTTCACACGAAGAAAGAGAGTTACCAACGCTGTTTGGGAGCTTGGGGTTGGGGAGTTTTCGTCAGAGACAAGGGAGACTCTTTCATAAGTGCGTTAGTTTGCATAAACAACGGCGCCAGAGATTAAATATTGCGCTTTTGTATTTAACCGATTCTAATCTAATGTTTTGTTTTTTGCATTCTACAGGCCAAACCTTCCATAGTAAGTAACTTCACGTTCTTTGTTGAAATTTCTTGCGGTTAGACTAGCTTTGTACAGGTGGAAGATGTAGTTTTCGTGCTTCCTGAGTAAAATTCATTTCAAGTCTCACACCGGCTGAAATACGTATCCTCTGTCTGCATGGTTCGCTCGCCATTGAAACACCCTGTATTTTCGAAATAAGAGAAATCGGCATTTACGACTGATTGTATTGTAAATATTCATTCGTAATGAAATACAGGGTGTTTTGATTTTGATGGTCCCAAAAATTTTATATTTTCGCTGATATTTTTCGGGGGTGTTATCAACCTGACAAAAATCAGGATTTTGGGCGATTTTTCTGAAACTTTCGGCATTTTTATAGGCAACTGTCCTCTAAAGATGGCGAACATTTCAAGTCGCGCATATTTACTCAGTTGGCAAAAATCGGGGTTTTGGGCAACTTTTATGAAACTTTTGGCATTTTTAATCACGTCTTTTCTAAAGATTGGAAAAATTTCCAGTTTCTACTTGTTTTCGATCTTCGATCAGTAAAGCGCAGTTGGGTGAAACTATCCATTTTGAGGCCGAATTTACAATGAGGGCTAAAATTAGGAATTTGGGCGATTTTTATGAAACTGTCAGCATCTTTGGAGCCAAATTTCTTCTAAAGATAGTGCAAATTCCAAGTTGCTGCTTGCATTCGTTCAGAAGATGCAAATTTGTAAAGAAAAGAGCGCAGTTTTGTAACCATTTAGATCCATTTTGAGGCCGATATTTACTAAACT